CCCTGAAGACAGTTATTAACAGCCAATCTTCCAAGCCTCTGACGGTCACCTCAGGCGTCTCCAAGGGATCACTTTTTTGACCAACTATTGTAAATGTCTATGCCGACGATAAGACGATATACGGGTGCACCTCTAACAGTCTTGACGATCAGAGATTGGCATCTGACCACTCTTCCGATTTAAAACAAACTTTCCAGAGGGGAAAGACTAACTAGTTACATTCGATGCCTCTAAAACCAAACTGGTTGCATTCTATCACCGCCGATCAGACCCTGCTGAACGAATGTCCGCTCGAGGAGGCCCCGTGACTTGAAAGGATATTGAGCTCACACATGCCTTCAACTGGAATTCCTATACACGCTCCATCGCTAAATATGCAAGAAAACAGATCGACTCCTTGTATTGCTCCAGTATTTACCTGACTTATCACACTCTCCTCTGCATTTAAAAACACCTGATCAGGCCGAAAATGGAGTACTATTGCCATATTTGGGCAAGATCTGCCCAGACCTCATTTTACAGTTTGATCGACTTAAAAAGCGTCCTTGTGGGAGAAAAATTATTTTTCACGCTCTAAACTCTTTCGTACAGGTGGGATGTGACGAGTCTCTCACCGCTCTATCGCTACGACCATAGAAAGTGCTCGGATGAACTTCATCTCCTCGTCCTCCCAGGTCTAACCCACACTGCTAGGACCCGCCATGACACATAGTAGCAAACCAACAACATTCTCCCCCTAATCCATCAGCGAGAAGTAATTTTCACTCAAACAGCTTCTTCCCGTGAACCGTGGAACAGACACCCTAGATGATGTTTCTCCGATCACTACAATCTTATCCTGTTCAAGACTTCAACCGTTATCTTCCCATCTTATCCATATAAAACACCTCTTAACGTAAATCTCTAACTTGAGTGAGCGCTGGGCTTTGTACAGGTTGAATCTTACTGTAAAAAAAGATTTTGTCTAAGGAAGTCTTTTTAGAATTAGTATTTTCGAAAGTAATATAACATGAAACCATAAAAATTGCAAATATCATTCGGAGAAAAGAAAAAAAAAGGCGAAGAGCGTAAGTCATAAATGGATCCAACAGACCAGCTCCAAAAAACAGGAAAACAAGAAGTAAACATTATTGGCTCAGTATAAGAATTGTATAAATGATTAGAAGAAAAAACGAAAAAAAAACCAAAAAAAAAAAAACCAAAAACGAAATCATATTTCTGGTGAGTAGGAAAGACAGAATACAAAGTCTACGTAAATCTTAGAATGACCAAAGCACGTTACTGGGGTAATGTGTCTTTAAAAAAAAATGGTAAAAATTTCGCTTTCTTGAGACGTAGTTTGATTAGTTATTCGTTGTCGATCAGTAGAATTTGAATGTCTTCCTGTTATACGGTCGCTGAAAAACACATGAAAGGAATATGGATCAGTGGGCTAGTGCCAGTATTTGGGCGAAGATTGATAAACGTGATAGGGAATGCTTTGTGCTGAACAGACGAGAAAAAAAAATCAATTATTTTTTTTTTTTGAGTGTCAAACTTGGTTTCAATGACGGGTGAGATTTCATGATTACATAAGGAGGTTAACCGAAAATGCAAAGAAACGATGCAAATGTGGACAGACTGCGAAATTTAGCGGATTCAGATCAAGGATTAAGCAGATTTGAACATGAAAAGAGAAAACAGGATTTGAAAATTCAAAAAAAAAAAAAAAAAAAACAAGATGACGCGTTCATGATTTCCAGGCTAAGAAATTCTTTACAAAAATGTCCCTTCAACGATATTCTCCAAATTCAGTTCCCTGTGATTTTTGGTTATTTTCAAACACGAAGGATACACAAAACAGGTAAAGATTTTCTGATATCACTGACGTCTAGCAGAACGTGATTACATTGCTGAAAACTATTTCGAAATATATCAATGGGAGTATCAAGATTTCTGATCTCGTGATGTGCCATAAAAAAAAAATTAGCTTGTTCTTTTCGGATTCTGAATTTAAGTACGATTTTTGTTTCCATTTTCCACAATAACCTCGTCGTTGCTCACTTGTACAGTTCATGATATTCTCAGCATCCTTCTGTAGAGCCACATTTGTTTTAGCTCAAATATCCTCTTCATCTATGAGGAGATTGTCCGACACACACTGCCATATAGCAGGACCGATATTTAGTAATATTTCGGTACTCTTTTCTTTGTTTCTCACGAAATTTTTCTGTTTCTTAATATTTTGATTATATTTCAAAAGTCGTCATTCGCTATTCAAATGAGCCACTGGATATCGGTGTCGCATTTTCCGTCCTCTGTTAGAGGAATTTTTTTGATATTTAAATTCTTTGTGCATGCTTAATTTTTGTGTAGTTATGAAAAAAGAAAGAATATTTGTCAAAAAGTGAAGGACAGATGTCACGTAGCAGTTCAGTATATTTCCTTGGACGGAAATGGCTAATATTACTTTTACCATTGTAATCGATGGCTAGAGTTGCTGAGGAAACTCTTTTCTCTCACATGACTGGAATAAATTGTGGAGCTTACCGAGTGGCCAAAGTTCAGGAACGTTCTGATACTATAATCTCTAGTATTGATGTTTATAACCCTAACATCTAAAGATTATTATACACAGTCTTAAAGACACATGCTAAAAATAACAAAAAAAAAATAACTCAAATTCCAAGAAAAAAATGTAAAGATTTAGAACTAATCAATATTAAAGCCTGGCGCGCAGAAAAGAGTAGATTTGAGATAAATTTACTTTCATTTAGTCTCTGGAAGTCAATGGAGTATAAAGCAAATATTATTGAGAATAAAGTGTAGAAAGAAATATAACACCGTAGGATTATCATCAATGCGAATTTCAAACATCCTATAACAAGATGTATACTTTTTTTTATTTTTAATTATTAGAAACTCTTGACCTATCACCATTTCTGAATCACATCTTGAACAAGTTTATCTTGGTGAGCTTATCTTTAATAGAAATAAACCAAACAAATCTATGATAAGTTATCAGAGAATTCAGTCAAATCCTTCTTCGTTATCTTTAAGATTATTCGTTTTGTATTTTATTTGTAAACCTTCTAATTACTAATTTATTTAGCAGATATCTCCGAAAAAAGAAACTCTTTTTTTTTTTAATAAAAGAATTAAAAAGAAAATAGAGATATTATCGAGAGAGGATTAGTTTCTATTATGAAGAAGATAACGAAAATTGTATTTGACTTATTGAATCAGTAGATGTAATAGAAATAAGTAAACATAATTTGCGAGTATCAACTTTAATATTAAAAAAAATAATAGCAGGGTAGAATGAAGTCTTTACCCTTGAGTGGTAATCAGTTTAAAAGAAAAAATTCTGAACCGTGAAGAAGGCAACAGCAAACGACTCTAAACAATGAATATCAATACTTCGTCTTCTTCTGTCTTCTTCCTTTAGGAAGTGGGCGATCATGGCTCTCTACAACTTCTTATTCTTTGTCGCTCTTAGTAACTTATGTCCTTTCATTATTCCAACAACTCACTATTCTGCCGTCTATTGTCTCCTTCCGTCCCTCTTATCATCAGTATGTCCTGTTAGTGTCAAATTTTCTAAACCTTCTTTCCTCAATACGCATTCTACAAATTACAAGTGTCACTTTCAAATTCATAGTATAATTGTTCTTTTCGTGTCCTTTTTTATTTAACTTTCTCGTTGCTTACATGCTATTGCAATGGTATTCTTAGCATCCTTCTGTAGTACCACATTTCTCTTGTCACGCTTTTCTTCTTTATCTGCAAAGAGATTATTTAGCGTTCACTGCCATATAGGAAGGCTAAAGAAAAACAAAACTATGGTGAGTCCTAATCGTTTACGCACTTAAAGGAATAGGAATTAAAAAGGAAGTTTAACTCCGTTGATTCTGAAATATCAGAATGTAGCTTTCTCCTTATGTATAAAGATAAAACTAGAAGAAAAAGAGATGTGGTTCTACAGAACGATACTAGGAATATAATAGATGTAGCGCGTAAGCAACGATTAAGTCATGGAGGAAATTTTTTAAAAAGTACATTTATACTCAAAATCAGAAAGAGCTGAATGGGGAATTAATGAGGAAACCTAGCTCAGAAAATTTGACACTTGCAGGATATACCGAAGCAAAAATGGACAGAGGAATCAGCTCTTTGAATGCAGTTTCTGCATCTTCTTTCAATCGGAATGTTTTTGACGTAGAAATATTGTTCCGATGCTTGAAAAATGGTAGCCAGTGGGCGTAAAATCAGATGAACGCGGCAAAGTCTCGTATCCCAAGTCGGTGAGCTTTACTAATCTCATTCTGATACTTTAATCAATAGGAATGATTAATATATTTTAGAGCAACTATTATAATAAATTATTAGAACACAATTGAAATGTTTCATCTAAAATCAGATATTATTTCCCGAACGATATAATAGGTGTCTACATATAACACACCATCCGACTTTCGAGACGATGAGTATCAATGGGTTAAACCAGAGATAAATCACTCTTTTAATCAGTAAAAATAACGAAGGAACGTCTTCTAAATATGGACACCCAGACCACTGAGGGAAATGGAAAAGCAAAGAAATCTGAAGATATTACAAAAGAAATATGAACATTGTGTCATGTGGTCGTGAAAAAGTTATGTATAATTACTAGAGCACGACAAATAACGGTTTAAAAACAATTACACGGATTTACAGAATTAATAAGCGATAGAAGAAAGACGATTAACGCACCTTTTAAAGATAAGAGAATGCTCAGACCAGTTTCAGAGATATGAACAAAAAAAGGAAGAAAAAAAATGTAAGATTGAAAAGGAAAAAAAAGAAGGAATAGAAGAGAGAAAATGTAAAAAAAAAGAAAGAAAAGAAGTAAGATAGAAAAAGTAACAAAAGAAGGTAAGCCAGTAAAATGGGAAAAAAAGGAGGAGAATGAAGGAAAAGAATTAAGATAGAAAATGTTAAAGAAAGAAAGGAAAATAAGACAGAAAAGGTTTTTTTAAAAATTAGGAAAAAAAGAAAGTAAGATGGCACAAGGAAAAAAGAAGCAAGGTGGAAAATGTTAAAAGGAAGGAAAGTAAATATAATGAAACAGAAGAAGACGAAATAAGACGGTAAAAGAAAAAAAGAAGGAAAGGAAGTAAAGACAAAAAAGAAGGAAAAGAAGAAAGATGGAAATGGAAAAAGGAAGAAGGAAAATAAGTGACATGGAAAAAGTAAAATTTGAAAGAAAGGAAGCAAGATGGAAATGTAAAAAGAAGGAAAGGCAATAAGATGGAATAATTAAAAATAAGAAAGAAACGAATTAAGATGACAAATATTGCAAGGAAGTAAGACGGGAAAAATAAAAATAAAAAATCAAAGTGAGTAAAATGGAAAAAGTAAAAAAAGAAAGAAAGGGGGTAAGATGGAAAAAGTATAAAAAAGAAAAAAGGGGTGAGATGGAAAAAGTAAAAAATGAAAGAGGGTAAGATAGATAATGTAAAACAGAAGGAAAGGAAATATGATCGAAAAAGAGAAAAATGAAGAAAGAAATTAAGATTGTAAAAGTAAAAGAAAATGGAAAAAAGAGTAAAATTGAATAAGTAAAAATAAGAAAGAAACGAAAGAAGTTGGCAAAAGAGAAATAAAGAAAGTAAGATGGAAAACGTAAAAAGATAAAGTAAGTAAAATATAATAGTAAAAAAAGAAGGAAAGTGTGTAAGATGGAAAAAAGATGGAATGAATACAAACGTTCCAAAACAAAATTTAAGAAGCAGTAGCACAATCATGAATAGGGTTGTCAAGAGGGTATGTAAAAGGGGAAACAGGATAACGTATAATTGCAGTCCACAATAAAGCAGTAACATCGATAAAAATAGAGATGTAGACTTTTAAGAAAGGAGACCAGACTGTAAAGAGTATTAAAAGTTGATATATGAAACTGACGAAAAGAGAATACAAAACTAAAATTCAACAAATTTTACATTTTTATATAAGGGTTCTATCATATAAAAAAAGGTACATATCTTAGGCCTCCATTGAAAATAATATGAATAAAAGAGTCAGAAACCTTTTAATGAAGAGCCCTACTTCCAATCAAGAAGGTATGAAAGTGATAATTAAATGAAAGTATATGATCGATAGTAGATCTAGATGTACGAGTTGATCATAGGTTGTAGACCAAAAAATTGAGAAAGTATATTTATCTTACTCGGGAAATCAAGTAAGTGTGGAGCATCAAGATGAAAATCAGGGAGATAATAACTGAAAACAAGACACCGGCAATTTCTAATCGAGATTCACGATTTGAGATATTGAAGAGAGAAAGGTGACTATACCGAACAGGTGAAGTTAATAAGAAAGGTATCGGTCATTAGAGTAAGGTCGCTGTTTCTCTTGAAATTGAAATTGAAAAAGAAAATGTGGCGCCTTAAAACTACTCTTACTCTTATCATATATATATCCTTGGGTATGAACAATTATAAATATGTAGTATTATAAATATAAAGTGTTATAAATATAGCCTTGGGTATGAAGAAAAAAGCTACCGACGCGAACATTAACAAGATTCCTGGCAGCTTCTTTGTATAAGTGATTAAAAAAAATGGAGTATTATCCATCGGAGATCAATGGCTAAATCAAAAATGCATGGAGGAATAATAATAATAATAATAATGATAATAATAATAATAATAATAATAATGATAATAATAATAATAATAATACTATTTAATAAATAAATAAATAAAATGTTTGACGTAACTCTTGCAATATTTTTCAGTGCATACAGAATATTAAGATTTTAGAAAAGAAAAGTGTGCGTTGAAACATATTGTAAATTGTCAAACAATTTTCCTTTAACTTTTCTTAAATTTCGCTCATCTTTAAGTGTCGATAATAACAGCAACAACAATAATAATAATAATAATAATAATAATAATAATAATAACAATAATAGCTAATAAACCTGATAATGATTACAGGCTACAAACAAGAAATGGCGTCACATAGATAGTGCTGTTCCAACAGATAAAAATATATCTATTAAAGTATATAACGAAATAAGTTTTTATAAGGATTTTGAAATTGAAATTGAAAAAGAAAATGTGGCGCCTTAAAACTCCTATTACTCTTATTTTATATATAGCCTTGGGTATTAACAATTATAAATATATATTATTATAAATATAAAATGTTATATATATATAGCCTTGGGTATGAAGAAAATAGCTACCGACGCGAACATTAACAAGATTCCTGGCAGCTTCTTTGTATAAGTGATTAAAAAAAATGGAGTATTATCCATCGGAGATCAATGGCTAAATCAAAAATGCATGGAGGAATAATAATAATAATAATAATGATAATAATAATAATAATAATAATAATGATAATAATAATAATAATAATACTATTTAATAAATAAATAAATAAAATGTTTGACGTAACTCTTGCAATATTTTTCAGTGCATACAGAATATTAAGATTTTAGAAAAGAAAAGTGTGCGTTGAAACATATTGTAAATTGTCAAACAATTTTCCTTTAACTTTTCTTAAATTTCGCTCATCTTTAAGTGTCGATAATAACAGCAACAACAATAATAATAATAATAATAATAATAATAATAATAATAACAATAATAGCTAATAAACCTGATAATGATTACAGGCTACAAACAAGAAATGGCGTCACATAGATAGTGCTGTTCCAACAGATAAAAATATATCTATTAAAGTATATAACGAAATAAGTTTTTATAAGGATTTTGAAATTGAAATTGAAAAAGAAAATGTGGCGCCTTAAAACTCCTATTACTCTTATTTTATATATAGCCTTGGGTATTAACAATTATAAATATATATTATTATAAATATAAAATGTTATATATATATAGCCTTGGGTATGAAGAAAATAGCTACCGACGCGAACATTAACAAGATTCCTGGCAACCCCTGTCTACAAGTGATTAAAAAAATGCAGTTTGTGAAACTGTTCATCTACTCAGGAAAGTATTATCAACATAAACAATATACCTGTCAGATATCGATTAACATCAGAATTTGTGCAAGTAAATTCCATATATTTACTACCTTGACTTAATACTGCTTTCGTGAAACGAACCGGTAAAGAATTGGACCGACGATAATAATAATAATAATAATAATAATAATAATAATTAGAAATTATCAAGCACATATACTAAAATATTGTGTTGAAGATTCTGTGACAAATATCCAGAAACAATTGACCATCTTGTATCAGGTTTCGCGATATTGGCACCCACTGAATATAAAACCCGGCATGGCAGAGTAGGCCAATATCTGCACTGGAAAATCTACAACTTCTACGGGAAGGAAACTGAAAGAAGTTGGTATGAACACCACCCAAGATCAGCAATTTCGACCCGAACCCTTTATTTCGATTGTTTTAGATCCACATGGCATACCTCTTAGCTTCATTTATCTCCCCACCCTGATTTTTTGTTCACCTCTGCTGCGGCCAGGTATTGAACTCACAACTTTTTGGGTAAAGTCATTGCATTACTTCAACCAACGCTTTTATCCACTGGGTCATGTCCTCAAGTGGATATATAAGTTGTACTTGTATAACCTTATCGGACTGGGCGGCCATCATGGGGATAATGGGTTTTGTTTATTAATACTCCAGCATTACTTTGTTGGTGTGCTGCTCTGTCATCCAATGATGATGATGATGATGATAGCAGTAATAAAAAAATATAATGAAATGCCGTTGATAACGCTAATGATGAAATACATAATAATAGCGATATAATGTGGGTCAAAATTTTAAGGAATATGAATTATTTCAAATTCGTACAAGGAATAATGACGTACATTTAGTCGATCACGCGATTTGCAGTGTGTCGTGACTTTTCTTTAATCAGTTCATGTTACCGAATATCAGAGACGTGTCCTTAGCTCATGATGAAAATCTACGTACTTTCGTTAAAGAATATCTGTGTCAGCAAAAGATAATCCGAAAAACGGCTAATTCGTACTTGCACTAAGAAGTCACGGAGAGATAGAGAGAGAGAGAGAGAGAGAGAGAGAGAGAGAGAGAGAGAGAATAAGAGAACTTATAAGAATAAGAGACCGTTAGTTTTATACACACATTCATATTTTGCCTTTGTTTTTCACTTAGGTATAAAAATTAGTCCTTAATGCGAGACACAGTAGTTGAAATAAATTCTAAGTTAAAGTGCTACAATTCTTACCAATGACTCAACCTTCGCGGGATATTTTCCTTTCTTCAATTCTTTCTTCCTTCCGTACTCTTTTCTATTGTCAGCCATAGATGTTGAAGATTTTACTCACCTGAAAAAGAAAGAAAAGAAAATAAAAACATTAGGAAATCTGTATAATTCGACAAATATTTGTAAACGTATAGGTAAATAGCGTTTTAAAATCATACAACGTGTTTAATATTCTATAGATTATTAAATTTTAGTATGAATTTAGAAAGCAAATTAAAGTGTTTCCCCGTAGAAGATTGTCAAAATAACCGGTGACAAGTGGGACGAAAGCTCATTGACGGGAGAGTGAAGCGTGAATGACAGTCATTCTGTTGGTAGTACAACATACTTTAGTCATCAAAGGTCATCAACCTGACAACTGTGGCAAAACGAGGCGGTAGCTAAGAAGACTGTGGGTACCGCTAATGCTTTTTTGAAGTTAGTTTAATATTGGTTCTGTCATCCGAAGGAGAGTGCCTCATTGGTGAAAAACTTTAAAATAAAAAAGAAATATCACCGGCTAACACAAGGACTTTCATTATTATTTTTTTCTTTTTATGTGCCATGTCCTTTCATGACGTAAGCGATCATGGCTTTCCACCTCTTCCTCTATCCCTTGCAGCTCTTAACAAGTTTCTTCTCTCTGCTTCCTCCACCAGACCGCGTTCTGTCATCCACTTGCTTAAGTCCGCTAGGTAGGTCATGCGTTGTTTTCCCTTGACTTTCCTTCCCCTCTATTCGACCCGTGAGTATCAGATTCTCCTAGTCCTCCTTCCTCATTATGTGTCCTAGAAACTTCATCTGCCTCTTCCTGATATTAAGTATAAGCCTCCTCCTTGTTTGTAACCTCTCTAAGATCTCATCGTCTCAAGATTAGAACCGAGTACATTGCGCTACGGAAGATGCCCAATCCTCGCATTCGAGCCTTGACCGGGTTCAAAATTGTATACTCAATATCTTAGGTATCTTTTCACGGCCTCTTCCACACAGAAGTAACGTTGCAAGCCAATCGCTACCCAGTTGTAATATTCATGGTGAATATTCAAATGTTTTCCCTTCTTTGAGTCCAGCATTTCCGACATTTACGAGTAAGACCCACCTTCCCATGTTCACGAAATCGATCGAATACCAGTCAAAGTCTAATCATTCACATCCGCAAATAAACTTGGAAAATGTATGAGCTCACATTCTCCCATCCAACATATGGGTTAAATAGTAGAATTTGCATCCGAAAGAAAATCATTGTGATTCTGAAACTTATCTTAATGCAATATTCACTTGGGGGAAAAAAAATATTCTTGCAATCAAAAATATGTTTCAGCTTTAAATAAACCACAGAAGATTCATAAACAATTAAAAAAAAAAAAGAAATCAGTCAATGTAGCAACTACGGAGTTGAATCCACCATATTACCTTCCTATTTCAATTGCAAGTTGAACCACCCAGTTTCTACGGAGAATTACTACTTTAGGGAACAAACTCCTATGTGAATAATTCCCTGAATACTATAATTTTAACTTCTTCAGTCAAACTTCAGTCTTACATATCCACATAATCTTCACTTTATTCTACCGATTCTTACGTTCATATTTCACATCATTCACTAAAATTTACCTTTAGTGGCTCCTGAGACCCGTATTGACTGAACATTTTATTTAATAAAACGCTTTTTATATACAATTACGACTACGTCCATTAAATCCAGTGTATACAACATGTAATCGTAAATTTACAAATAAATGTACAATCCGGAACTGTAGAAAGACAAAAATCTATATCAGTAGTAACATTACTGGGGTCCTCACAAAAAATAACAATTTGGGGGCTCATGGGTAATATTTTAGTGGACCCTAGAGCAAATTCACTTCGGAACAGTTGATGTAACTTTGAATAGGAATTTGTACAGTCATCTACGCCATATTAAAATATTAAAAATAGAAAAACAAATTCTAAAACTAGAAGAAAACAAGATCAACCGATTTAAGTTAGCGTCCCTTTTACTCTGCCGGATGCTTTGATTGTAAAAATTGAATGAAAACTGAGAAGGATATATAAAGGAAGGATTATATACATAAAACAATATAAAAATTATAATTTATCTCATAGATAACAATATTAATTTTGAATACTAATAATATATTAATATAAATTAATTATTATAAAATATTTAAAAATACATTATTAGCAATAAAATTAATTTAATATATAAATTATATAAGGGTTATATCTAAAGGTAAGTATTAATAGTATTAATTTTTTCAGCAGCAGTGGCAATTTCCAGGAAAACTATCCACTCTGAGGGCTTATATGTAAAAAATAAAATATTTTTTCACAGGCGCCCACCCAAAAAATAATAAGAGTAAAAGTGGTCCATGTGTAAAAAAGAAAAAAAAATCGTTGAGAATCATTGGTTTATATTAGGTTGGTACAAAAATAATGACGTAATAATGTCGTTTTTTGACCTTAAAAAATACGTCAAAAAACGACATTATTACGTCATTATTTTTGCACCAACCTAATATAAAAGACAATGACGTTAGAAATTAACTTGTTTGAATGTTTTATTATATTTTATTTAGCCTTCTGTTTTATTTTTATTCTTTCATCTTGATTCTTTTACCCAGATCCGTTTGACGCGTTAGTGAGTTTTCTGCGATGATGAATTTATAATTATATTTCTGTCTGTGCTTGTGTGCGAACATGTAAACATTGAGGCTCTTGTGCATCGACGCATGCGCATAGGAAGCAAAGGACTAATTCTGATAAGCATACGTTCATTAGGAAGGGAGTAATATAAAAAATGCAGAGAAAAATTTAATAAAAGAAACGAGAAAGGCTAAAACATCAAATAAATAAATAAACGTAAAAGAAGCGAGAGATATCGATAATAGGCAGAGATAAAAGAATGACGATCGAAGAAAAAAGGAAAATGAAAAGGCTAAAAGAATATGAACCTACCGTTTAAGATAATAAAAATAAACGATAAAAAAAAACAAAGTAGCAAAAACAGCTTCAAGGACAAATGAAAACAAAAATGGACGATCGATGATATAAAAGAAACGTAACTGATATGAAATAGAGAAAAACAAAAGGGACCAGCAAATACGTAACTAAAATATAAACAAAATGATTTTTATTGCTTGATTGATTTGTTTTTTACGGCTTATCAACCATTTATAGGGGATTTAAACTGGACATATTTATAGATTGTAAAATTTTTTATGGCGATCCCACCCTTTACTGTTGAAATAGTTACATATAAACGACATTTTAACTCCAAAATTTTCTTTTCTCACACTCTCCGCCTGTGGAACTCTCTTCCGTTTAATTGCTTCTCTGAATACTACAATCTTCAAAAATTTAAATGCAACGTCAATCGCCATCTTCAAGAAGCCCGTTCATCTTTTATCCTTTCCTCACCCCCCCCCATACCTAGTCGTTTCACTAATTTTCACTCTCTGTAAACCCATGCGTACTAGTGGCATTGTCGCCTTTTTGGGGGTGAAATGATTTTAAAAGAGAAAAAGAAAATATAATAATGTTTTTTAATGATACAATTTCTAATAATTAACCCATATCTGGATCGGGAAGACGTGGGTTCATAGATTACCTAGGGGCGTTTGGGCGTATGTGAATATAACGGACACGATTGGAACTCGGCTGTCCGACTTCCAATTCAGAGCTGTTATCCAACAGCATTCACAAGCTTGCAGCACCTGGAGTTTCCAAGCGGTCACCCAGCTAGGTACAGAACAGACTCGACGTTGCTTATTTTCGGCGATCGTACGAGAACCGGTGGTTAAATGTGATAAGACCGGAAGCCATAGGACAATACGGAGAATAGAAGAATAAAGAGAACGCAGAAAAAAAAGCGTGGAAAATAAGAAAATAGAAACAAAAATATTTTAAAGAAAGAACGCAGAAAAAAAAGCGTGGAAAATAAGAAAATAGAAACAAAAATATTTTAAAAGAAAGAACGCAGAAAAAAAAAAGCGTGGAAAATAAGAAAATAGAAACAAAAATATTTTAAAGAAAGAACGCAGAAAAAAAAAAAAAAGGTGGAAAATAAGAAAATAGAAACAAAAATATTTTAAAGAAAGAACGCAGAAAAAAAAAGCGTGGAAAATAAGAAAATAGAAACAAAAATATTTTAAAGAAAGAACGCAGAAAAAAAAAGCGTGGAAAATAAGAAAATAGAAACAAAAATATTTTAAAGAAAGAACGCAGAAAAAAAAGCGTGGAAAATAAGAAAATAGAAACAAAAATATTTTAAAGAAAGAACGCAGAAAAAAAAAGCGTGGAAAATAAGAAAATAGAAACAAAAATATTTTAAAGAAAGAACGCAGAAAAAAAAGCGTGGAAAATAAGAAAATAGAAACAAAAATATTTTAAAGAAAGAAAGAAAGACTGTTAGAAATTGAGAATGAAAATAAAACGAGAAGACGAAGATAAAAAAAAAATGAACAGATATTAATAAAGGAAAGAAAAGAAAGAATAAGAAAAAAGTAAGAAAGAAAAAGTTAAAAACTCAAATATAAGAAATAGAGGAATAGAAACAAATACATCAAAAGAAACGTTTAAAAGAATAAAAGTTATTTCCAGACTGAATGGCAAAAAGATAAGAACGTAAGAAGAATGAGAAAAGTCAGGAAAAGTAAATTAAATGAATGAAATAAAGAATAAGAGAGAAAGGAAATGATAAGAAAAAAAAGAAAAATGAGACTGGAATAAGAAAAAAAAAAGAAAAGAAAAATAATCGATCAAAAGAAAGAAAAAATAAAAGAATGAAAGTAAAAAAAATAAGAAAAAAAGAAACGAAAATGAAAGATTAAATAAAAGTCTGAAATTAAGATTAATAAAAAAAGATAAGGAAAATTAAATTCAAAATTATGAACGAAAGAAGAAATGAAACGAAAAAAAACAACATATATAAAAAAAAAAAATGGATAAAATAAAGAACATAAGAAAAATAATAAGGAAAAATAAAAGAACGAATGTTGAAAATTACAGTGTAACCCGGATATAAGAGACCCGGATATAAGAGAAACCTGGATATACGAGAGATTTTCTCTGGTCCCAAATTAGAGCCTGTGTTAATGTATATAAATTAGACCAATCCCGGATATAAGAGAAACCCGGATATAAGAGACTTCTTCTCCGGTCCCGACAACTCTCTTATATCCGGGTTACACTGTATAAGGGAAATGATAAAGAACAAGAAACTATTAAAATTTCGAAATCAAGAAAAAAAAAGAAAAGAAAAATATACAAAATAATCAGAAATAGTGAAAAATAAAAGAATGACTCAAAAAGAAATGGAAATTTGAATAAAAAAAATGAAAGAAAGGATTAGCGAAAGAAAAGAAATTTAAAAAAAAATTAAATTAAAAAAATAAAGAGGAAGAAGAACAAAATTAATGACAACAGCAAGGAAAGAAAAATGAGAGAAAAAAGAAAAAAAAACGATACGAGAAAATTTAAAGTAAGAAGATAAAAAAATAAACGAAGTAACAAGAAGAAAGAGAGAAAAAAGGAAATAATGGGGGGGGGGAGAGAGAGAATATAGAAACCATCGAAGTATTATAACAGTTTATTGAATCTAACGAGAACGCAATGAAAATAAAAGTGAAAGCTGCTTTGGGCTAAATTTTCTTCTACGTCAGAGCTAAACTATACGATTGCTAATGCTCAGGGAGTAAGGGCGAAGACCGGAAGAGTCGATTGTAACTGACAGGAAGCACGCATGCGTGATTCTTTGATACCCCATCAGGGAATCTCCCATGAGCGTGTGGGCCGCCAATCGTCCACTGCATATCATGATGTCGAATACAACTGCACACGAAACGGAAGCGGGCGTCGTGGAATACACTGACGCCTGGAGACCAGATACTATCGTAAAATACGATATATTCGAAAAAAAAAAAAACACACACACACACATGCGTGTATTCGCCGCGAACGTAGTCTTGTCTGTCTCGCACACACCGTACTTTTTAAGCGACAGTATGAAAGCTGAGCGTACAGACAGACATCGACTCAAAAGTATAAATATGCATTACTCGCTGCAGAGAATGTCGAAGATATCAGTATAAATCTCTAATAAAAAAAAAAAAAAGATCTAAGAATAATTCGCACTGATTGGAAAATTCGCCCGCATGCTAACTCTCGAAATACTTCACTCCAAAAACGTACACGAATTTTAGAGAAGTGAATGAAACAAAGACCAAAAGACATAAGTTATAACAAGTGCATTGTAAAGCTTTCGAAGACAATGAAAATGCATACACGTAATAACCCTATCGGAGCAATCCTAAACTTCTGACTTGGAGATTAAAATGCAATAGCTGAATGGTATTGGTAAGAGTAACTGTTTCTTTGCTCCTCTGATAACTAAATCTGATAACTGCTTCTTTGATAACTGGAAATCTTTGGTATTCATTGGTTGAACAGATAGCATTACTATCGGTTGAAATTTACAAAATCTTTCTTCTAGGAGAGTATTTCAGGAAAATAGCTTTCTCAAATCCACTGGCTATTAACACTCTTTCTTGTATTGGTGGATGTTTTCCTCCCTAAACTTTTCGTTGAGGTCGTTTCGAAACTCAACATCTTGATCATGCCATTATGTGTAATAACTCTATCGGAGGAATCCTGAAATTCTGACGTGGAAATGAAAATGTGATATCAGAATGGTATTTGTAAAAGTAACCGTTTCCTTATATGGAAATCTTTGGTATTTATTGGATAAACGGATAGCATTACCATCGGTTGAAACTTACAAAATGTTTCTTTTGAAGTGGACAAAGCCCGACAATTATTTTAAGATATTTTTTATGCTTATTTGTCCATTTCATAATGTGTGACGTCATTTTTTACATTTGGATACGCATCGAGCAGATATGAATGTACGAGTGAAAATCATGGAGAATTGTATTTTAAAAAATCGACCTTGCTAACCGAAACGCTCCTCTGTGGCGAAATCGGTGAAAGCACGTCAGGTTATATGACGGTTCTGTATCGGATACAGGTTCGATTCCTGTCGGAGGACGCATATTTTATATGAAAATTTCTCGGACATTCAGGCCGGTAAATGTCGTTAATACTGTTTATTATAAACAGAGCATTTACTTAAATATATGTATCTATAAAAAGAACGTATAAACATAAAAAAATGTCTTAAAATGCTTCTTCTAAAAGAGTATTTCAGGAAAATAGCTTTCTCAAATCAACTGGCTACTAACATTCTTTCTTGTGATGCAGAATGTTTTTTATTTCCTAAACTTTTCCTTAAGATCATTTGGATACTAAACATCTTGATTATGTCATTATTTTCTCTTCGATTTGTTTTTTTTTCTGATTCAGTGGCGAATGAAATAATGTTGGTCTTCATTAAGACCTACCGTATTCATTCGCTTAAATTCATTTTCAATCATTTATATGAGAAAACATTTATATATAGTTAATACTTAGTGTATCCTCAGTGGTAGTACCTTTGTAGCGAAACGGTCAGATCTGCTTTACTCAGGTGAATTGGGATAATGAATGTCCACGGTCTACATCCAAATCTCACACATAGCTACAAGAAGTCGCATGGGCCGTGCGACGACTACACTCCTGTCAACGGCATCGACCTTCCGGCTAAACTGTGTGAGTGTAGTTGGAAGGGTTTCGCAAGAGAAACGCCTCTCAACGACCCACCTGTGCTAAGAGGCCATCGGACAATCACCAGCCTGGAGGTAAGAGGGGCGCCTCAGAAGTCAACAACTTTATGTGTGGGCAGAGAAACTTCGGAGAGGATGGACGGGGTAACCACTATATCTTTTTTTTTTTTTTAATCATTTCACCCCAAGCAAGGCGATAATGCCACAAGTACGCTGTGGGTTATAGGAAAGAGAAGACTAAGAATAGGGAGGATTGTGGAAAAGACAAAAGATGAATGGGGTTCAAGAAGACAAAAAATGGCGAGGAATGTTGCATTTAAAGTTTTGAAGATTGTAGCTATTAGAGGAGCAAAGAAAACGGAAGGAAGTTTCACAGGCCGGAAGTGCAAGAAAAGAAACTTTTAGAGTAAAAGTGGCGGTTGTATTTAGCTGTTTCAACTGTAAAAGGGTGGAGCCTAGATTAAATTCGGGTATAAGGAGCACCAGAGATAAAATCTTGTCAGAAGTGTTGCCATGAAAATAGATGTAGAATAGACAGAGGGAAGCCACGTCATATCGTTGAGAATGAAACTGAAGTCGAGGTGCTTGTCGGGATCGATTACATTGCAGATCCTTCTTTGGTTTTTGTCAAGAATCTCGAAATATACAGGAGGATCACCAGACCCGATGCACCAGACAAATGGTAGATTTGTAAATGTATAAGATGGATACTGACGTGAAAAAGCTTCTGGTACAACAGAACGACCCATTTTTACTTGCAATCTCCAGTGATAAATGAGCCAGCAAAACATTTCCCTATATTGCCTTAAATGTTACCATGAATTAAAATTACAAAATATGGGTTAATGGTGACCACGGCGGCGTAAAATGCACTAATTGAATAAATGAAGAAATGATAGTTTAGACTAAACACAACTAGTCATCGATAAATGTGGACACCTAGACTAGACTAGTGCAGTAGTTTACTAGCCATACTAGTCTTAAAGATTATTGTTTGAGGAGAGATTTACGTCCTTACTACGTTTTCTCCAACTCATTTTAAGTTAACATCTGTAACCAACTATCGCAAAAAAGAAATTGGAGTGTTTGCTTGAAATTTATTAGAAATATATATATATATATATATATATATATATATATATATATATATATATATATATATATAAAAAAAAAGGCGTCAATTAAAACTGTTGACAGTGGGGATAAGAGTTTTAAAGAGCGTCAGTCTTAAAGCGATGATTATCAGATAAATCTTTCAGTACGTTTTTTGGGACTTGATTCTCAATGGGAATACATCGATTAAAGTTGAGATCTGACAACTGCCTACCTTGGGAATATGTCTTCCCAGAAATCTGCATTTGCCTTTGATTCGCAATGGTCGATTTAAAATGACGTCCGCTCTATCATGATGATTGAGAAGCTAATCTTTGTGACAATTGCTAGTGCGGTGAGTCAAATTTCGCCCGAAATATTATCGGTAAAAGTTTAGCATAAATGCTACACATAATCCAGGAAAGTGTCCGATTTAGATAAACACTCGCTACCACAATGTGATATAAGGAACAGATTATACGTACACTAGATATACATAAATAATACATAGACAGAACAGTGATATATATACTGCTAGCTAAAACCTTAAAGCCAATGAAAATAAAGAATAAATATACCTATTAAGTGGTTTGAGTCAATCTATTATTTGAATAAAGCTTCAAAAATGAAAATAAGCAAAAGAAAAATTAAAAACGTATTTAGGGATAAAATAGGGAAAATCTTATGTTTATTAACTAAAATTTAAATTGAATTATCTTTGCTGGTGGATAAATCTGGAAATTTATATAAGAAAAAAAAAGATCCATAAAAGAAATTAAAAAAAATTAATATTCACTAGTTTTAACCCTGTAAAATTGAACGGTTATCCTGTTGGAATTTTCTAACGAATCTTAATTTTTTACTTAATGATTGAATAATCTCACGGTGAGTTCTACGTCAATAAAATATCCGTAGAAATTTCTCTATCACATTGTTGAATATTTGAGCTTAACAACTTTAAGAAAAAATGTTGCAATAGCAATCTGAAGGTTAGTCGTTATTTTAAGAATTAAAGAATTAAAAACGAAGAAAAAAAATCAATGAAAGATGTTTCTCCTTTACCGGAACAGACGTTAGACAGTACTATCTCTCTGGCTTTCTTTCATTTTTCTCATTGAAACCAAGTAGCGTTTTTTTTTTACATTTTTCTTCGCTCGCGATCAAAACGGAATATCCCATTATTTATGAGGTGTCAGCAGGAGATGTTAAATACTTCCATCTTTCTTTCTTACATTTTTCACTTAAATCAAGTAGCGACTGATATGTATTTCGTCTTTGCACGCGATCAAAACAGAATAGTTAATTATTTATGAGGTATTGGCAGGACGTAACGGCCGTGCGAACTAACGCAGGGAAGAACAAACATTATTATAATATGACAATAGACCTATTTTTTTGTTCCACTTAAACTTGCATGGATAACTGATGGCAATCCTTAAAATATACAAAATAAAAACTTATTTCTTAACAGTTGAAGAAATATCAATTCTCTATCAAACAAAATGTCCGTTATATCGATGAAATATCTTTTTTAAATGCCACGTCACTTCAGGACGTTGGCGATCATTATTCACCACAGATAACTTTTTTTATTATCTGCGAATTGACGTGCCTTCTTTGGGAAAGATAGTGGAGTAGTTTCCTGTAGTTTTCTCTAAACTTTTAAAAGTCAGTGTTTTTCTTCGTTTAGACTTAAACCAAAGCCAGGAACCTTCGTTTTCTGTTATTTAACTCTTAAATAAGGACGAAAAGAGATTGTTTCATGCCTTTGTCAAGAGCACTTTGGCAAAAGATTCGCAAGGACTTTTAAATTCTCAGCCGGATACAAAATCCTCGCTGATAATCGTTAAATTACTCGCACATTCGCTGGCTATACTAGACTTAAAAAAATTAATTATTAGGTTCATGCAAATGTTTCTATTTTCAAGCTGTTTTGTTGAGTTGCTTTTCTGCGTAAATGCTTTTGCAAAAGGTATGAATCCATCTCTTCTCGACTGGTTAGCGTAATTTTGCGTGGCAGATTTTTTGCTACAAGATTGGCTGGAAGTCAGTTTGAGGGAAGAACATCTCAGAATTGAAAAAAACTGGTGGGGAATTAAGCTGACAACTACACCCTGAAAAATTTGCTTCGGAAATCATAGCAACAACACCTAGCTCTTTGAGGCTGTGACTCTGCCTTCGACAGTTCGACTGATACCAAAGTGGAAGCAACTACATTGTGTATGTGTGATACATAGGAGCGTTTTTCTTTAAAACTAACTTGTCAAAAAAATCCAATTCAAGCAATCCAACCAGCCAAGCCAGAAGTGTAGATTTCGTCACTCGAGAGTAAAAAAAAATTAAAGGGGGGGCGACTTTAACAAGCTTAGCTATATGCAAGGTACACTATCTCTTTCAAATTATATCTATCTATCTATCTATCTATCTATCTATCTATCTATCTATCTATCTGTCTGTCTTAGCCTATTCATTATCTATCTATCTATCTATCTATCTGTCTGTCTTAGCCTATTCAATATCTATCTATGTCCATTATATATGTCTATTTGTCTCTATCTCTTTACATATCTTGAAAAAATTAAAGGGAGCGATGGTTAACAAGCTTAGCTATATGCAAGGTACACTATCTCCTTCAAAACATATCTATCTATCGATCTGTCTGTCTTAGCCTATTCATTATCTATCTATCTATCTTAGCCTATTCTTTATCTATCTATCTATCTATCTATCTATCTTAGCCTATTCATTATCTATCTATCTATCTATCTTAGCCTATTCATTATCTATCTATCTATCTATCTATCTATCTATCTATCTATCTATCTATCTGTCTTAGCGTATTCATTATCTATCTATCTATCTATCTATCTTAGCGTATTCAGTACCTATCTATCTATCTTAGCGTATTCAGTACCTATCTATCTATCTTAGCGTATTCATTACCTATCTATCTATCTATCTTAGCGTATTCATTACCTATCTATCTATCTATCTATCTATCTATATCTATCTATGTCCATTTATATATGTCTATTTGTCTCTGTTTCTTTACATATCTTGATTAATTTATATTTACATATACAGCATATACTATGAATATCACCTTCGTAGGAAGGAGCAACAATCTTTTTTTGGTCACGCGTATGAGAACGTTATGTTAATGGTTACAGTGAAACAAACACAATCCTAAAAACGAGTTTGGCGCCATCTTTTTTTATCCTGTTCGACTCCTAATTGGCCGAGCTGAGTTTAGAAATTCTTATTCACAAAATTAAACAACCAACATCAACAATGAAGCTGGCACTATTCAGTGTAATGAGTTACCAAAATAACTACAAAGTTGTTCAAACAAGTACAGAATAATTTCAGTAAAAATTGTTTCGATTACGTATATATTCCGTGGTCGCTAAAATGGCCAACGTTAAATTAAATTGGCCTGAAAAATATATTTTTTTTTTATTCACATAAAATAAGCTACACGGTTACTGTATACAGGTGTGTTTATGAAATATAAAATATGTATAAAAATTACATTGACCTAAACTGAATTAATACAGGTAAATATAACAAATAAGTTGTTATATATGTATGTATAGCTGGCCACTCGTATTCGAGGATGCCCGTCTACTAGGGCGGCTCGACTATCCCTATTGCAGACATTTGCTCAGGCGCATTTGTATTTATTCAACACTCGCAAAGCCAACCTGTGGTTTATACTGCAACTGTTCTGAACAGACCTTAGTTACAGTTTCAAGGAAAGAGCGTGTTATATAGCTTGATCAACAATTTGAACAAGACCAGCACACTGAAGCCCTCGGCCACGATGACTTCTGATATTTTGTTAGCACAGTTATTGACGACCTCAACTATTCCATCTACCAAATTTCAATCAATGGACTTGGATCAACCAGTGGTAGTGTTTTCTGTCACATTTCAAAGATGTCGGACGCTGGGATCGACGCGTCCAGTCTATATATACACACACGCACAAACACATGCACACACACACACACACGTATATATATATATATATATATATATATATATATATATATATATATATATATAATGTTGTTGTTTTTATCTAAAATTTCAATACTTGCTTTCGCAATGTTTTCCAAGAATGAAACACATTGGTATAAAATGTTTTGATCTTATGATTTCTTTAACTGATATTGTGTTTACAGATGCATTTATTGATATCTGAATTTTTACACATATATCTTTATCCAATTATGTATACATACACACACACACACACATTATATATATATATATATGTGTGTGTGTGTGTGTGTGTTATGTGCATATGCGTCTGTGTTTGGTAAAATATAGTTTTAATGCATAGGGAGAGTATAAGTAATCAATATCCTGGATAGAGCGGATATAAATATAAGAATTGTGGGCATTGGTAATAATAATGAGAGGTCAGAGTCTTTTTCCAGCATGAACGCAATTTTCAGGACTGAAGATGGCGTCCAAGCATGAAACAGACTGTCGCCACTTGGCGCTGACATCACTAACCACACTTCATGCATACACACACACATATATATATATATATATATATATATGTGTGTGTGTGTGTGTGTGTGTGTGTGTGTGTGTGTGTATAATAGGACAAGCAACATTCATTTGTGAAATAAATTATATAAAAGCTCTTCCCCACAAATGCCCTAGAATTTTTGATGAAGCTGAAACAAAATAGAACCACGTTAAATTTATAAACGTTTCCTATTCGTTCCTTATCCTTTCATTCTGTCAGATTCTGATCTACATATGATCCACTTTCCTATCTATCTATCTATCACTTTCTGTCTGTCAGTCTGTCTGTCTCTTTCTCTCTATATATATGTATATATATATATATAGATAGATAGATAGAGAGAAAGAGAGAGAGAGAAAGAAAGAAAGAAAGAAAGAAAGAAAGAAAGAAAGAGACAGACAGATTTTTCGTTTCTTTTCGTTGTTGAAAGTGCTACCTGATGATCCAGCGTCCTTTTAAAAGGACTCTGGTGAAATAAATTATTATAATGGTACCTTAAAGTGGTCTGTTTTTCTTTTATATATATATATATAGTTATCAATATCTGGTTTAGGGTGTATAGATTATATAAAAGTGGTCATTGATATCAACAGCCAGCAGCGACAGTGTTTAAAAACCATTCATCAGGCCATGAATATAGCGTTTAAGCATGAAGCCAATAATCCCCACTGAGTGTTGATCTCAATGTGTATAATCGTCAGAATAAATGCTTTTATCTCTATGAGACAACAGAATTATGTAGCGAATCTGGCACACACACACACACACACACACACATATATATATATATATATATATATATATAAATATATATATATATATACTATAGTTCAAAAGTTTGACGGAACCCCTTTAAATTGGCCCCCAAAGCAGTTATTTTGTACATTAATTAAGAGTAAATTCTTATACATGGTTTAAAAATGATCTTTTATTAGAAATTTTATTATGACATAAAGAAAAGTCGCGTTTTATGATTAACTATTCCTCTCGTCAAAATATCCTTCTTTAGACTTGATTAATGCAGCACAGACTTTTGGCATTAATTGCAAAACTTTTTCGAAGTATAAGTTTGTTAATGGATTCCATTCTTATTTACAATGACTGTAAAAATATTTTTAATTTTTTTTTTTTTCAATCTTCTGTCAAATTTATCCCATAATAATTCTGGGGGTTGTTTCAAACTTTTAAACTGTAGTGTATAGAAATGTTTGTGTTTGTTTGTTAATTTATATGCGTGTCTGCGTACGCGTGTCTGTGTACGCGTTTGAGTGTATGCATGTGTGTATGTGCAAACCATTTTCCACACGTCAAAGGAATGAATAATAACTTGAAAGCAGAATTTCATAAAATAATCTGGAAAATCTTGAGAAATGTGATGAGTTATGTTAGCAAACAATTCTCATTTCAAATTCATCGCTCAGGGTCGTTTCATTAATAAAACCAAAAATAAAAGCCATCGGATGAATTTAAAAATCTCCGCTTCCCCAAATATTTCCCTTATATCTTTAAGAGATTAACTTTAATAGACAATGTTTCCCCCACGTCATATTTTTTGGAGGAACATATTTTGGGAAATTGGCATGATAAAAAAAAAATAGTAGAAAAAAAAACAAAAAACAAAAAAACAATGCAGAAATAGAAATATGTCACTATAAAATTGAGAAAATTTTTAATCATTTTAGATAACAATCACAATAATTAGTAAATAAATAGACTCACAGATATTTTATATTTCGGGTCTTTAGCCTTTAAGCAATTTCAAAAAGACAATCGGCAAAACTTAGATATGTTAAATTTATATTATATATTTATATGTTACTAGCAGTAGAGCCCGGCGTAGCCCGGGGATGTAACAGTAAGAGATAGATCAAGTATCAACCATCATAAAGACTGAAAAATAAAATTGACATAGATTATTGTTTAAGGTTGACGGACACGCATGTCTTAATTAGTTTTTTTTTTTTTTTACGAATTGGTCAAACCTAAACTCAAACAAAAACATTGTTTTCAATCGTTATGGATCTACCGATTGAACAGAATTTTATTATAAACAATTGTCTTGTAAATGGAATTTTAAAAGCATTCTGAATGTAAAAATAAAGAAAAAAGTGTGCAAGACAATAAGAAACACTACCTGCCAAAAAAAAGTGAAGTTTTGTTAAAATCGATTGAAAAATGTAGGAAAATACGATCCCATATATAAATGAACACACACACACACACACACACACACACACACACACACACACACACACACACACACACACACAACCTAGCTTTAGAATAAGTATAACTCGATATGAGTTGTTCCCCTTTCATTCTCGCGATGCCTCTTAATCGTGTTTTCAAATTGATTTTACGCAGTCCTCTGAAGTTTTGTTGAAATCGGTTGAAAAATGTAGGAAATCCAATCCAATATATACACGAACAGACACACACACACACACACACACACACACACACACACACACACACACACACATTCTGCGTTTTATAATAAGTAAGATTATTAATGTTCTTTCAAGGATATTAATATTTTTTATTGATGTTATGTTTTAGACTGTAATTAACTATTTAAATATAATGTTCATTCTTTACTTAATATAATGTAAACATTTCAACAGTATCCAGTTCGCGTTGTAATTTTAATATTTTTTTTTCTATTTGTTTAATGACATTATGGGAACCCTATATATATATATATATATATATATATATATATATATATATATATATATATATTATGCACTGTCAGATTAGAGAATGTATATTCCCATTACTTTTCTTCAGGTGGGAAACCATGATGGCACTAAAACCTTTAGTAATATCATGGTTTCTCACCTAAAGAAACGTTAATTTTTAACATTGAAACAAGATTGCAGTTTTGTAGTGCGTATGTACATGTTCTAATATAACACTGCAAAATAAATAAATATTTATTGCTCTACTTTTGTATTGAACTCTGTTTCAAATGAATGTTTTGAACGTTGAAATCTTACTCTTCAGTCTTTTATATATATATATATATATATATATATATATATATATATATATATATACGCATTTCATTGAATACGACAGACAAGGTGCTTTTATTTAATTTTTTTTTATACAATTTCTCATGCAATCTAATACTTCTTTTCTTTTCGGGTGATTATATAAAAAGTGTCCAAGTGTTCTTTTTATACGAGCGCTTTCGGCTATACATTTAGCCATTTTCAAGGATTAAATATTTTAACCGTTAAATAAAAAATACTTTGTTGCCTGTTTCATTTTTTTTCAAAACATGGTCAAGATACTGTGTCCATTTTCATAGTTAATATTATTAAGTGTTTTTAGTTTTTTTGTTTTTATTAATAAGGCTTCCATTATTTTAGTCATGTAGATTATGCTATTTTATTAGTGTTGTGAACAAGTATGTTACGAATAGTGACCGGTAGGTCTCCATGAATATTTAAATGAGATCTAATTGAGCTATAGTCAGAAAGGTCTACAGTGAGTCTGCGTGTCAAACA